AGGTCTTTGTGGTTTAGCTCACTGGTTTAGCAGACACTCATATGTGTTATGGCTGGAATGCAATGTCCTGTTTCTCCTTGCTTTGTGTCCTCCCCTGTTTTCTCTTTACTGCTAGGCTGTCAACAAAGGCAGAAAGCCCAAAAGAAGATTAAAAGCAGTTTTTACTTTAGCATATATTTTCTTTCAGCAAGGAGGTTGGGTTTTTTTGAAGTGTCTGCATGTCATGCTGTCTGTAAATATAAAAGCTGGAAAAGTTTTGAATGCTTTCTGATAAAACTTTGTAGGGTTGTAGAGTGAAGTCATGCTAATAATCCATTAAAATGTACATCCACCAATTTCTTGAAGGTCAATTTTATTGAAGATGGTTGAACATGGACCAAAAGGCTCATAGGTTAGAGACTATTATTCTTACAGGTGTGGTGTGTATTGTCAACATATAGAAATGACCGTATAAAATTGAAAACATCATGCTATGTTTGACCTCTGACCTCTCCTTCAAGCTCTGTAGATTGATCTAAAGGTTAAAGTGATAATAATGGTATATATGTCCAGATTTTTGCTGCAATTATTTGTACTGACAACACATAGGCATATATAAAGACTGATAAATGGAAATTCTAAATATCGTGTTAGTTTGGACCCTTTCTTCATTACGGTCAAAGTTTCATTATGTCAGACTTTCATAAAACACATTTTATCTTTAAAACTATGCTAAAAAGTCTGCTGCCTTTGTTTGCATTGGGACCATTTAGGAAATGATACACTGTTATATGGGAATTCTAAATATGACTGTAGTTTGCATCTAAATATCCTATCACATTTCCCCTCTGATCTCACTTTTACATTTCACATTTGTTGTTATTTAAAGTCGGCCCCAGTTGTATTCTATATTTAAAGAATGTTTTACAAAGAGGAAGAAAATGAGCTGCCTGTTGAGTTAGAAACATACTGCAGTATTTCATATCCAGTTACTTGTAAATCAATACATATTATGCATTACATATTCATACATATTTTCATATACAAATTACACCACTATTCCCTTAAAAGTGAATACTCTCCAGCAAGTGAGCTGCCTTGGCAGAGGTTTATAGTTTGCAGTTTTGCAATACTTGAATCAGTTACGTTTGTGTCAAGAGATACTATAGCAGACAGATTTTTATAATCAGTGATACAATTACACTCAGCAGAATCACCATGTTTGCAAAAATAATTCAGTGTATTTGTATGAATGTATCCCATAGTTGTTATTGTTTCGGGGGGGGTTCAAACATGTTGACTGGCTTGCCCTCTTGCTTCCTTTAGTTTCCTTTTTCAGTTCTCTTTGAACAGCTTCCATTAATTACATTATTGCTCCGGGAGTCCTGTTCTTTTCATCTGATGCAATCTTTAATTTTAAATGTGATCTAGACTTTGATGTTTGGTTATATCATACTGGTTTCTTTTTCGAACCGCAGTATTGTCACTAAAATTAATTACCCTGTGATCCCTTCTGCAGTAATGTCAGTATTATTATATAGCTGAAAAACATGCCCATTCATCATTTGCTTATGCCTATCCTGCCACACACTGATAGTCTCTGAGACAGGTTTGCTTCTTTTAATGCCAGACCCGTAGGTGGGAATTAGCTGGATGGATTTAAAATGGAAGGTCTGGTCTTCCTCCCCTTGCTATTCTTTCTAGACATGCATGTTTGAGAAGCCTCTTACTGGAACCGGTGGGTCTCTGTAATTTCAACATGGAGAAAATAAAT